GGTATGAAGCGCATTGCATATCCATAGCACTGAAGTATCAGTTTTCCATTCCTGGGCTGAAATTTGTTTCTACTTTTTGCTTCAAGTGGTTGTATTGTTCTGATTTCACGTACACCAGAGTAACTGATTTTGTTTTCTTGTGGAGTTACTTAACACCGAATAAAAATATAAAAGGACAATTGGACAGCGTATGTGTGTGTTCATTTTCTTTGTCTAACATATATAACTTAGATACAACACGGCAGTTAAGCATTAAATCTTTCAGAGAGAGAGCATGAGGTATGTAATTTGGGAGTCCTTTTCATTGCTGTAATTTTTTAATCTTTTTTATTCTTTTTCAATACAATGCAGGAAAATTAAATACACTGCATATGTTCTTTAGAAAAAAAAGACAAGCAAACATAAGCAGCTTAGTCCCCACTTCATTTATTTCTGTAGATGGTGTCATAATCTCATTCCAAAAATTAATTTCTAATGACAACTTCATGTTTAGAGAACACGAGACCTCTTTCAAAAAAAAAAAAAATTAAAACTCAAACAAACCCAGACCCTCTCCCACAAATCAGTCAAAGAACTTTTATATAGTACAGAATCTAAAATAGCAGACTTTATTTCTGCTTTCAACTTGTGCTCAGCCATCAAATGGTCAGTATCTCACTTCTACTTTTAGAAAAACTATCTGTGACAAGAAAATGCATACTCCTAAACCCATGGCAGGACCTCTTTTTATAAAAAGGACAAAAGACAGACCCAGTTTTGAACAGCTCACATTCAGCTTGGTGGAGACATGGGCATTATGTTGCTGCAAGTTTACAGCCATAACGACTTGGGATTCTGTGTAGAATGATTGCAACTCCCCTGAATTACAAGTGCAATGAAAACAACACATAAATACACACTTGGGAAATAATGGAAAATAATTGCTCTGTAAGGTCATTGGGTGAATACTTGTGTTCATTAGTATCTAGCATGCTTTAAACTTTGTAGTTAAAACTTTCAAAGGCATAAATTATTTTTAATTATTTCTTAAATACAGCAGGAGGAGTATTTTCATTGTGTTTATAGAAGATGCTTGATAAAACAATTAAATTTAATCAGCCAGGCCTTTCAATTGTTGTATCTGAATTATTAACTCCACATATCCTAAAGAATTAGTTTCCAATGTAAACAACGCTTCTATCATGCAAAAACCATTGCATAGTCCTTGGCAGCAACTGCATCTGTCAGTGGTAGGGCAGGCTTTAAATGCATGTCAAACTATGACTTCATGGGAGTGCTGTCCACAGTGAAAATACATGGAAAGGTACTGCAGCTCCTGGAGAGCCAGTCTTCCCAGGATTCCTTGACAGTAACTCATTCTTTTCCTGCCAGGACCAGCATATTTAAGTATTATCCCAAATGAATTTGTCATCTACCTTTCACAGACAGCATCTCACATAATTTTCTTTTATGACCTGTGAAACTAGTAGCAACAAGGCTCCAGAGGTTTGGGACAGATGAAACTTAACTGATATATTTTAGCTTTCTACAGTAAGATCCCTTTTCCAGTGTTCAAGTTGCTCTTAAAATGTATTATAATACGCAAGTGCCTGTAAATTTTATGAGCTACCTCTATGCTCCAAAATGATGATAATGGGATTAAAAGAAAAACCAAAGCTGACAGAGCTGGCAGTGGCTCAGCATGCTGCTGAGAAAAAGTGACTGGGTGGCAAAACATTGGTTTCCCTGCCCTACTTCATCGTTGTGTATAGCTTCACCTATAAAGAATGCACCAAGGACAGACACTGAGATGAGAGACTTCCATGTACGCTACCTTCTGCTACCTGACAGCCTTGCTGTAGGGCAAACGCTTCTGGAAGAACTGTATCTGTTGCTGTAATGTATTTGCAACCGTAGAACCCAGTTAATCCAAGAACCCGAGGAGGTGCAAAAGCAGTAGGAAGTGTCTCTTTATTCCCCTGCCACTACAAGGCAGGGTCACTCTTAACAACAGTAAGAGCTATACAATACTCTACAATTGCTTTTCACATAAAGATTTTAGAAATTGTTAATGAAGAAGGCTTAACTGCCTGTCATTTCTGTGTAGACTATTTTACTCACTACAAGAAATGGAGACAGTGAGATGTAACAACTCTCCTTCTATCACAGAATTGAGCAAATTCTTGAATTTCTTCTAAAATCAATCTAAACAATCAAGCCTGTTAAAATGCATAGGTGAGTATATTTTCATATTCATTTCAGTGTTTTTCTTGTTCGTAGCCAAGGAAATGCTTGAGCAAATGGCACTACAGTACAGCAGCAGTACTGAAAGCAAATACATAAGCCACCAGAATAGACTGCCTAAAAAAGGGACACCATTTCCATTACAGATTTTTAGGAACAGATTAGACAAATGTGTCAGAAATAATGTAGGTATGTATACATACATCCTGCCTTGGGGAAAAACAAGGAACTAAGTGATCTCCTGATTTCTCTGAATCCTGTTTTCCATACATGAAGAGCTTATATCTAGAAGGGCTATTAAATTGATTCATAGTTTACAGAGAAAAAAGAACCATTAGATTGCCTATGGTACATTAAAACTTGTGGAGTTTTTCCTTTATTGATCCCAAACTTGTGTTTGAAAAAAAAAGTACAACTTGTGTGTGGTTCAAGCCCATCGTCCAAAGAGTAATTTGCCTCATTATTCCCTACCTGCTACGGTGGGCCACCCTGATCCCTTCCAGATACAGGATGGAAATTGGTACTGAATTTTTCTTTTTTGCAGTTACTCTATTCATGCAATAATGTTGGCATGCTTTTTGTTCCTAATACCCTTTCGGTAGGATTTTTCCTTTTTCTCTTACTTTTTTTTTTTTTTTAACATTTCATAGCTTCTAGTTTTTGTATTGATGTTTGGCTTTTAATTGTCTTCACTTCGAGATGGGGTTTTAGCCCATAGTCTTTTGACTCTGGAACCCTTATTTATTTGACAACAAAGCCTTCTTCAAAAAGTCTCAATTGTCAGTCATGCTTTTAAATTATTTTTCTTCAATTTTTCCTATCATTTTATTCAATACAAAAATATTAAATTCTTTGAAGCACTGCAGATCCATGGAGACATATTTACTGGATCTGTTATCTGCCCAAATTCAATGTTACTTGGTTTCATTCATCATTACTAGTTCTAAACAACAACTAATTTTTAGTCTAGTACTTTTTTTTCCTAGCGAATTCCAATAGAAGGTTACCACACTTTGGGTGCAATGCCTTTTATGTTACAGAATTAATCTGTTTGCTTTTGGAAATGTAATTTAAATTGTGCTTGCTTAAGAGAATAAATCTGCTATAGCATCCCAACTTTTCATTATGCAGCTGTGCAAAATAAAAACCTTGTTTCCTTCTCTGTTACGATTTAGTGACGAGTTAAGATCCGTAACAGAAGTACCATGGAGGCTTTGTTAGCAATTATTATGGGCATTTAAGATTCCGCAGTTCTGAGACATCAATACGAGAAACAGTATTGTTAGTTGGTATAGTCTTACTCCTTCACACCTTATTACTCATTTTGTCTTTCCTATACAGCCTGTAGACAGTGATAGAAACATTCCAGTCACACACATCATGTTTCGGTAATATCAATTCAAATGTGCTGGGAAGTCTCGCACTATCTTCCCCTGCCTTTACTGCTCTTCATTTTCTTGCTGTCTCATGGAGGGGAACTTTAAACCATGTAAGTCTGTTCTTACCCAGTGTAACAGAAAGGTTAACAGTAATGGTAGTTATAGACCTGACTTCACTT